GTTTTTTTGTAAGTTTATTGCTGCAAAGCCCCTTTCAACCGCTGCAGTACTCCCAGACAGAGAAAACATCAATATATGCGCAGTATGTTGCTGTATTGTGGGTCATTTTGCTGCCTTGTAACTTACAAGACTCTTGTAAGATAACAAAAATTGAAAATGTATCACGAACATTAACGGGAAAATGGCCGTCCGCGCGGACGTCGGATTCGAGAAATTCGTTGTCCGCGGAGAATTTTTGACCGTCGAGGACGGGCTGTTTTTCGAGCCCTGATTATACGTGTATAGTAAGGCACGGGACCGAACATTTCGTCCACTATATCCAGGAGTTCACTATAAACCGTGTTCACTGTAGCGGGGTTTGAATACCTTCAAATTTTTCACCTCATTATAGATATATAATAAGAAAATTGACTTGAACCTAAAAAGGTATAAAGTCCCCCCCCCAGTAATAGTCAGACGAAATATCGTTCTGTTCATTTTATTGGTTTTCAAACAATTCCATGTTCATCATTAAGAGGATATAGCTAATCTGAAGAGCCAAAGTTTATTATTTTCTTTAAATTAATTGGTTCATAGAAGTACAAAACAGTCAAAAATGGAATAATTGATTGCTAACTTTGTATTCCAACTGCGAAAAATTCATATCCTTGCTGACATTAGGGCAGATATAGGGCATTATTGCAGATTTTTCGTCTTTGATACTCTATTTTATACATCAATTTATAAATTTAATTTCAAATGATTTCTTCTACTACTACAAATTTATGAATTAAGTACATATAAAATTGCTTGAATTAGTGGAAAAAAAAGTAAAAAGTGTTCGTACGGTCCTTAAAAATTGAAAAAGTGACAGTAAGATTAAGACAAAAATATATTCCAATAAGATAATATTCACCAATATTCTTAATATTTCGAAATAAATATATTCAGTCACGAAAATTTGAGTAAAGAATTTTTAATTTTAAATAGAATGTTCATTTTTAAATACAAAGGAAGGTAGGTACTTTATTTCCCTCGCACTAAAGTTGCACAATGGGCTATTGGCGACAGACTGGGATACATCCTTGGGGATGATCTGAAGACATGCCGTCGCAGTTTTCATGCTCTACAGAGGGTTTGGTTCCCCAGCTTTGGTAGCTCGAGTAGTCGAGCACTTTGCAGTAGAACGGTTTAACGAGGATTGATACCGCGCACCCTGGGTCTCCACGCAGGCTGATCAAAATGGTCCCCCACCCGCTTACGGACTGAAGCCAGTGATGCTCGACTTCAGTGTTCTACTGTGAGCCGTGTCTCTACGATCTGTCCGCTGCTGAATGCGAAAAGAAGACAAAGTTATAATAGTTGAGTGATAATATCGAATGTGATATTCAGATGTAATAAAATCACCAAATATTCTCGAACAAAGCTTACATCAAGTAACAAATGAGTATAGGGAAGTTTTAGCCAAATTTACTATTGCACAGAAACTAAAAATTGGGGGTACAATTTTAAAGCAAAGCATGCAACCAAATCGACTATATTCTTATAGAACTTGGTCATAGAAGTAACCTACTGGAGGCTCGATGCTTTAAAGCAGCAGGTTCCAAATGGTGTTTCGCAGAAAATTAGGGTTTCGTGTGTTAGAATTTTTTTACCGATAATTATTTTGAAATCTGTAACTTTGCTTGTACTATACTTTTTCAAACAACGTTGAAAGGTTATGTAGTAGATAACAAATAAAGTACGATATTGATAATATTTAGTAATTAAAACTTCACTAATATGAAGTAGTTTTAATATCGATTTTGAGGAAATAATTATCTTACGGTTCTTAGAATGATATGTGTACTGTAGAAAATTGCTCGATAGAATTAAATTTAGATTATTATGAGTTGGCCGGTAGCATTAGCAACATACCAAGTATGGCTGAATGCAGTTAAACTTTATTTTGATGGCATGAACTACAAAAAAAAGTGTTTTGATTAATTTAATAAAGTAAAACCACCGGGAAGGACAGCAAACGATAATAAGCAAAAAAATAATTATACTATTTTAGCTTTATTAATTGGATCGGTGTATATCTTTAGGTTTTGTGTTTGACTTTGATTCATTGTTTGATTTGCTTCAAATTTTTTCTTTTTGTTATTTATTCCGAGCGAAGAACGAATGTTCAGTTCTGAACAGAAAGTATATTTCTAATATGTTTTATCTAAAATATATTATTAATATATTTAAAATACACAAAATATATTACACTGCACAATAAAGGAAACAAAATATTTATATGTTTTGATCTCTCTCTAATAATTTTTCTGTTTAAAAAGATTCTTCTCGTGTATCAAATATGATAGTATAGTTTCATATTTTATCGTCTGCGTCAAAATTTAATAATTATTCCAGACATTTTTTGCTGTGGATTGTATTTGATAGATCAAAGCAACCGATAGTCATCTATGCACCTTTTACTTAAATTAATAAGGTCTCGTACTTACATCTGAATCCATAAGCAAGCATTCGTGCTGACCTAAGTATGTGCTTGTGCTTTGACTTCAGAACGTCATTTTTCTGAATACTAGCCCAAATTCAGAATGTGATGAGACAACGCCTCCAATTATTATACAAATATTTATAATAATATATGTTGAAACTTAAAACTATAATTAATAGTTTTGAGAACTTTTATTTCGTTCAGGGAGACCAAGAGAGATTTGATTTTTAAATTATTTAAGTTAATTACAGGTATCATAGATCTGTTCTTAAAATTCTAGAGAGCGCTCTTTAAGAGAATAAGAAGCAAACGCAGATATTGTAAATAATTAAGCATAATAGGAAGCTCTCTACATACAGAATAAGAAGCAAATTAATCACTTTTACCAGACAATTGTAAAGCATAAAAAGCAAAAAATTATTTTTACAACGTATTATTATTTCCTGTATCTTTATTTACTAATGGTTGAAAACAATTGAATTGAAATATACAAATGTTTGCTCCAATAAAATCAAAGTAATTTTAACTAAAAAAAATGAAAAAACTAAAGATAATAAGTCGAATAGTTCATGAGAAATGGAAACTCAAAAATGCGTCTTCAAAGTTGCGTAATAAACAAAAAATTAACATAGAGCAGTTCAAACTTTCAAGTTAACTATTAAGTTCATATTAGTGATACTGAATATTCTTTTCAGGCAAATTTATGAACAGTCTAATCAGCCCTACCACCTACTGGATTCAGGTTTTCCAGGCCAGTGCCAAAAAACTAATTTTCTTAAGTTACAGTTAAGTATTTTTGCCCAAGAAATTTTATTTAAAAAATATAACATTTCCATTTGAAAATAGAATCTTTGTAGAATTTTCATCTGAATACTAAATATTTATAGCATTTTCATCTCAATACAAAATCTTTAAAGCATTTCCATCTTAGGACAAAAGTTAGGCGAATAAGTACCAGAAAGTAATTTTTCTCTGCTTACAACAAAAAAAAAAAATTTGTATGCTAGCTTTACAGTGGATTAGTGTCAGATTCTACTTTAGTGTAATCCAAGTGAACATCCACATGAAAGGTGTTAAAACTTTTATGTTTTTTCAAATGTGAACAGAGCGCAAAATAAAATAAAACAAAAACACTCAGAATAACTTTTGATCAGATGTTCGGATTTTCATGTGCTAAGAATTAGTTTTATTAGATCGAGAGGGTGACCTTAAATTTTCTAATCAGTTAGTGCAGGCGATATTTTAAGTTACAAAATAAGACACAACGTACCTTTTCTCTGCACAAGTATAGCTTTTTTTGGGTTCCTTACCCTCAAAATGGGAGTTGAAGCCACATTCTGGTCCCAACAGTTGAGTCTGCAGAGCGGTCGCCTTCTTCCTACCACGCTCTACGTACCAGAGAAGTGGAGAGACATGGTATTCACTAGAGGGAATTTTAAAAACAATTATGACTAGGAATGTACTATTAAATGTATCATAAAATTAATATGGGATAAGAAATAAAAAAATAAAATGTAACAATAAATAAATAATATAAAATAAAATTTTACTTATCTGATCTTGTATATAAGGTTATTTCCTTCTTAAGCTGAAATTCTTACATGGTTGCTAATCTGTCACCGAGAAGTTAAATATTCGAAAATAAATTAAAAAGGGAAATAAAACTTGTAATTTTCTTGTTATTTAAAAAATATTCATTTTTTATGCCCGAAGTCTTGTCTGAATATATATTAGTTACCAAGAATTTAAAATGAATAAATAAGTTTTATTTTTTGTTCTATAAATGTACAATTTTCAAGCTAAATGGATTACGTGATTGTGTTATAGTTACTAAAATGTTAATTTGCAAACAAAAATTAATAAGTACATTATCCGTTTTTGAATATTCACCTAAGCCAAAAATCTTAATTTTGAATTTGTTATCGTGAAGTTAATTTGCCAAGAAATAAGACGCATATTGTCTTAAGAGGTCATTGTTAACGAAACATCAAATGTTGGGCCCTGAACTTCATGCAAACTGAATAAATGTCAGAACATTTACAATACATATAAAAACGTGTGGATAATATTAAACTGTAATTTAAAGGTGCGCTTACCGCCTAAGGCCACTCCCATGTGTAATTAAATTTTAAATGCGTAGGCAGGTCACGAGAAGTTTCGTGCTCTCATATTTACTCGTAGTTTTTGAAATCTTATATTAATGAATACTTTTGATGTCATTAAAGGTTAACGAACGATGATCGAATAATACTTTTTCAACTTTATCTCTCCTTTGGGACAGAATTTTTTATCACGATTACTGATGGGAATTTCAACACGTACGCTTTCAGTTAATTCAACTAATGCATTTTGTTACATTAGTTGATTTTGTTGCCTCTTCTGTATATTCATCTAGATTTCAATATTTTCTTTTTATCGCTTGAAGTAATATTGTAGTTTTTGGGAAAATATGTTGATTAAATGGTTTACACTGAATCACTTTTATAGACACTATTTTGAGCTATGAGAGAACGTTCTTGCCAAAGAAGAATGTTTTGAAATTTGGAGACAGCAACGTAGAAGAAACGGAGACAAAAGTAACAAAGAACATCATTTTATCAAAGGTAGTTTTCTGAAATATTCCATTTCATATTCTTTATATATTAATCCTATTTCAATGATTCACGTTTAATAAGTTTTACATTTTAATTTGTTTATATTATCGTTGTTGTGTCAAAAACGTTAAGTACTATTTTCCTTTCTTTATTTCAAATTTATTCTTAGTTTTAATTTTCAGTCCTATAGAGTGCGTTTGGGCGCAAATCCTTAGCTTTTAATAATTTTGATATTCAAAATTAGTTAATTTTTTTTCTCAGATTGTCAATCTCTTTTCCTCAAATCTGTTCCAAGTTCGTGTGTTGTAATAACTGCCATTTTTTACTACCATATTTATCATTAATCCACCAGCTTTTGCTTAAAATTTTTTATAAAGTAAAATTAAAATAAGAAAAATAAAATAACAGTTATAAATTAAAATTTGTTTTGGCATGTTGTTTATTTATTTTTACTCATTTAATGTTCGACCACTACAGTTTTGATATAATTTGCAAAGTAATATTCTAAATAGTACCCTAAAATAACAATGCTTAACTACCCATTTAACGAAATTAGGTGACTAAAAATTTATTTTTTTTGTGATTAAAAACTTATCTGACACAGCCGATTTTTACCAAATTATGGAAAAATTCATAAAATACAAATTGTGGCAAAATTCTCTGGAATCCAGGAAATAGCTTTGGGTAATTTTAAGCGAAATTTGAATTTTTTAGAAAAGGAATTTCATAGCTTCAGAATAAAAAAAAAGATTTTTACTTAATTAGTTTTATGCGTACATTCTTTCTTAAATTTTAAGATGGTTAATGTTGATATCTAATTTAAATTTCATTAAGTATAACACAATATGCGAACAATAAATATGCGATTTTGCATATCAGTCTTATAGTTTACACATTGAACAATTTATGCCTTCTAACGTAAAAAGTTATGCCGTATAAGAAGATTTTTATTTTTCCCATAAAAAACTTCTAACCATGTTTTACCATATTTTCATTTCTATTGTTAACTCCAGTCGCATAAACAACACTATTATTCTGCAATACCATGAAAAAATTCTGCAATTTATCTGCAGAGCATGCGATGAAATATTCGTTTTACGAAGCTGTGTTTGACCAGTTACACGTGTGGGTATCAGTGATCTTCTTCTTCTTCTTCTTAAAGTGCAAGTACACATTAACTAATATTTAAGTATTTATTCATTTATATATTTTTGAGTTTGACACAATTTGTTTTACAGCAGTGCAAATAATTGTATTCCGTGCTTTAGTTTTAAATTTATTAATTTAATTTAAAAACATCACAAAATAAGATTTGCAAATAATTCGTACGTATTTATTTATTGACTTCAAATTTAAAGTTCACCAGTGTAAACAATTTTGTTTAAGTATTTAGGCTGATCAAGTTAATTTTTTTTTCGATAAAGATGCAATAAAAACATTGAAAACAATAGAAATTTCATTGTAGTTTGATACCTCGTTCCTAAATTTTTGATAAAAAAATACAAGTCTTTAACTGTTTAAATTTCTTCTTTTTTTTTGTATGTTTATTCAGTATTTATGCCCCTTCTTGTGCCAGAACGCTATGTCGAATCGACATAGACTACAAGACGAAATTTCAACACCACTCCAAAAATTCGTTTAAAATTTTAATTAGTTTATTCAGGATAGATGCTTAAGAAATCATTTTTCGTATAAGTTTAGCATTAGCCATTACCAAATAAAACTTCAGATTTATTTAGTAATGGCCAAAAGTATTTTTTACTAACTCAGTGATTATAGTGAATGGCATGTGGCTTGGTGCTCTGTCACTGAATTTGTATTCCAATCTTAATAAAACATGTTGTTTCTGTAAATAGTTGTGTTTTAAAAGCATGTTTCCACAGAGCCTCAAAACAGAAAATGATAAGTATCGGAGAAAATTGCTCAGTTGTGATAAATTTAAACTTTCATGATAAGGCCTTGAGCAACAACATCATGCAAAACGATACTGAAAACGGTTTATTTTTAATGACATAAACTTCTAAAAAACATTATGCTCAATTTAATTAGTTAAAGCCATCATTTAGAGATAAGAAAATGGGAACATTCGGTGTTGTTGTTGGAGAAAAAAAAGCAAGAGTTGTGATTGTTTTTGTTTTTCAGTATAGCCATCTAGCCAAGAATTCGACCTCTGTCACATGAATACGTCATACCCGTTTATAGAGCGAACCCATTTATACAACCATTCATCCACAGATCGAGGATATTTAGTCGTGAACTAGAGAATGATAAATCTCGAATTCAGTACCTGCAGAGGTATATTTTGTTATTGGAACATGGAGGACTATGTGACACGACTGATTTAACGTGTACCAGTCACCATTTATTACACGGGGAGTCTTTTGCTGGCTGGATTAGAAATCGTGAGTTCAGCGCCCTGAAAATCAGACTCTCTGGGCCGATGGAAACATTTAACTTTATTAATTGTGTCTGCATGTGTCTTTCATTTAGAGCTGTGGAGTCTGTATGTTTGTAATGCACAGTGACAATAAAACTGGACACCCTGAATAACTTTTGATCTAATTATTGTATCTTCACGTTCTAGGACTCCATCTTAATAGCTAGAGGAGCTGATGTCAAGTATGCTAATTAATAAGCGCTGAAGATATTTTAAGTAACGAAATCTGAATACCTTATCTCTTTCTCTGAATACCTTATTTTCGATGGATTAGGATTTCTGACGCTCGAAACATAGTCGCCGCAATCTGAGAAATATAGTCCCCAAAGTTTGATCAAGAGAGTTATCCAAAGTTTGGAACACATTATTAATGTTGGTTTTCCTTTTTGCGTATTTCGCTTATGTCAAGAACTTTTCTAATACTTCTAAATTACGTTTATCTAAAGATAAATTCATGCAAAATAAATTTTTTATTTTACTTTGTTATGGTAGAAAACACTTTGAATATTAATGTACACAAGTGTCTTTACATCATTTAAATGAATATAAAATTACATGGCAAAATTGATTGAATTTCAAATAATTCAAATATTTAAAAATTGATTTCGCAGTAACTGTTCGACCGATTTCGCTCAAATTTTGTATTTCGCAATATAAAATTATCTTCTTTAAAATTATGCCAAAAAATCTACAGCTTAGAATTCCAAATTTTTTCGAACACTATTAAATAAAATGATTAAAAAATACGAAATACTAAATAAAGGTAATTTTTTGAATGGAATTATTTTTGAGCAAACGAATTTTATAAGTGGAAGCTGAAATTTTCTAATTCACTTAAAAAGTTTTCAGGATATAGCCGAAAAACGCAAAAAGGAAAATTAATATTAAGGGGTTAAAACTTTGGCCCGTTCTCCTGAGCAAACTATCAGAACTATATTTCCCAGATTACGGCTACGACCTATATTTTGGGAGATAAAAATACAAATCAGTTGAAAAAAGGTGTGTTTATTCTGAGAAAGTGCGTTTTAGTCTCTGAATTCGTAATTTAGTTTATTATCTGCACTTACTTATTAGCATATTTGAGATCTTCCTGTTGAGCCATTAAGATTGAGTCCTAGAACGTGAAGATCCGATCATTAGATCAAAAGTTTTCCAGAATGGTCCCTTTTTTTTAGCATTGTACATTAATGATACGGATTTATCTAATAATTTGATTAGTATTTTAATTCAACTATTTAATTGCTATTCTTAGCAACTGCTGATTATTTCACTGATTACAAGAATTTCAGCTTTATTATTTTTTTTTCTTTTATGCAACGTATTAATGCTCTTTTCATTGTGTTAGAGTTCTACAATGATGTCCAAAGATATTGAGATAAAAAGGAGAAACAGCAAAGTAAGGGAAGGAGGAAAAAACCTAATTGCAATACTGAAATGTATAGGCTTTATACTGTGCGTTACAGGTTTCTCCTATCAAGTCTCGGAATTCATGGTGCGATTTTATAGTCATCCGACAGTTGTAAACATCGATATCAATGAAACACCAAAATTTGTAGTACCTGCCCTAACGTTCTGCAATTTGAATCCGTAAGTATGATTATACTTCTATTTTACGGACCTATATACTTATTATACCTATAGAATGGTGTGAAGGGTAAATGAGAAGAAGCCTATATGCTTCTGCTGTGTAGACAAAAGGCATTATTCCCAATTCTTTTCCAATATTTCTCAATTTTTTTCCGAACTGAATCCAATCAGATAAAACATGAGTCAACAGGGCCAATCGTTACTGTTTCACATTGCTATCTGGACAAGTGAGGTATTGTGTTCTGTGAAATATTTTAAGCTTATTATAACGAACCCGAATTCGAGGTGATATGATAAATAGGTTATAACTAATTTTTGTGCCTAAAAAATAATGTCTTTTTATTTTCTTCTTATTTTTTTTAATTTCTTCTTATTTTCTTAATTCAGGGTAAAGCCTTTTCTGCTGATAATTCTTACACTTATAAATTGAAAGATAAGCAGCAAAGTTTATATATATATATGTGAAATAAAATATTTAAAAAAAAATTAAAAAAATGTATCTAATTTTTTTTCTTTTTCTAAACTTTTTTTTAAAATTTTCTTAAAAATATTTTATTTTAATAATTTTTCTTTCTCTCTTTACATTAATCTTTTTTATTTTCCATGTTTTAAAGTTTCCACAGAAATTTTTGTCAAGCACTCTTTCTTCTATGTTTGATATTCACCTTAAAAATCTTTTAATAATTTATCAAAAATCATTTTAGTATGTTTTTACCAAGGCTTGCTTAAATATTACAATTTCCCTGTAGGAAAATCATGAATGCTCACATGAAGAACAATATTTGTTTAAAACAAGAATAAAATTTAGTGGTACAGGTATTTAAGACGAATATTATCTGTGAATATATTAATAATGCATAATACATGAAGTTTAGAAGCTTTAAGATTTGTAAATGATGATTTCTTTTATTGTAGAATTCGCCGAAGCACATATTGTAATGAAAATCCCGACAACTGTGAAAAGCCAGCAGATATTCAGCAGTTCTGTTTAGATATGCCTCATTATTGCAGACAGGAAGACATGTCTCAGTTTCTGGTTGGTTAAAACTTTAATTAATTTCCCTAGTTTCTGTTTTCTCTGAAGCATTTTCCATAGTTTCCTTTGAAAGATTTGAATAATTAAATCTAATTTTTATCTTACTCATCAGCGTGCAGTAATGATTGAATAGGAAATATGGTTTTCAAAATATGTATGAAGAAAAAAAAAGGAAATCATATTTTATATTTTGATCCTTAGACACATTTCTAAAGTCAACATAATCACATTAATGTGACCACCCGTAATAAGTTAGAATAACCATCTTAGCAGAGTGGACTACTGCGAGACGTGCAAGTAGAGAGCCAATTGAGCAGGACGATTACTTGGCTGCTGAGCCATGCCGACTCCAGTGTTCTGGTAAGCTACGCTTACTTACGCTGTAGAGAATCTGAAGCATGAACAGCCGGTTCGAAGTGGTCCCATAGATTCTCGATTGGGTTTAAGTCTGATAAGTATGGTGGTTAGGAGAGAACGGTAAATTTATCTTAGTGCTATGCGAGCCACACACGTACATTTCGGAAATTCTAGTGTTGATCCATCGATCCTTCCACAATTATGAGAGCGTCCAGATTTGCGTGAACATTTCCTACACCAGAATGCTCCGTTCTCCTGCTTGGAACTTTCTGGCAGTTGTTACAGAATTTTTACTATATTCAAGAGTGTTATAGTATCGCTTAACTCTACTGTCCACCTGCTGGTAGATACTTGGGAATCATTTGTTTTGTGAATGGATCACTAATAATTGTTCATCTTCGAAATTAAGTATCAACAGACGCCAAAAAGTGTTTCACAACACCTCTTTATGTTGACTGTTCTTTCGAGATCAGTATGATTTTAAACAATGTGAAATTTCTTAAAGTAGTGTTTATCGGACATATGCTAGATAGGCTCCATGATGCCTCTGACCGCAAGAAAATTCGCAACAAAAAGGTATCTGATGTAAGATCCACCTTAGAAATTCTTAGGAAAACCAGAACGTGTTCCAACGAAGCTGATTAAACACAACATTTTTTGCAAGTAGGGAAAATCTTTCTGCCTCCCTCAAAAGTGAGGCACTTAAGATGGCCACTTGCAAATCTGGCCTGGACAGTCTGGGTTCTTCGGTCGCATTTTATGCCCAGAAGTGCACCGGGGGAGGTCCTATGATACCAGTGGTACCTAGGTGGTATCATCGGACTTAAGTACAGTTGTTTATTGCCTTAACTTTAGTATAACTTTTTTTAAACTTTTTTTATGCATAATTTTCCTTTTTAAGTGCATTTTTATGTCAAAAACGAAAGCAATGCGGGCTTTTCATGTAAACCCTTACATCCATTGACGTTCCTGTGAAGTTCTTCTCCTTCAAACTTTGGATTTTCACAGAGCGAGTAATAAGCTAGATCAGCGATTCTCAACCTGTGGGGCGCGCCCCCCTAGGGGGGCGCGAGCACACCAGAGGGGTGGCTCGAGAATATTCAAGAGAAAATATTATTTAAAAAAATTGATTAACTGGATGAAAGGAAAGCGCACATATACATAGAAAACAAAATACATTTTGACATATTTAATAACTTATTAAAGTGAAACAACTTATTAAATCAAAATTTAAGGTGGGGAGCCAAGGGTGGCTTGGCCTTAAGGATTTTTTTATAATTTTCTGATTAAGTCTGTGTATCTGAATTTTTTCTGTAACATCTTACACCTATCTCTAATATATATCACGTATACTTTTAATTGTAAAATAAAATTTCATTTATTTTATAGTACAATTTTAAAATTTTAGCTTCTGCACCTAAGGTTTCGCACAGGTTCCAAAGGTGAGCCATGTTTTGAAATCACTTTTTCACTTACTCAAATTATCTTTAGAAAAAACACTTGGACTGGCAAACTTCTTTTAAAAAGGCACTTTAAGTGTCTTGCTGGTAGGAACAAGTTTCCCGACTTTAAAAAAGATATTTGTTTTCAGAGTGTATAATTTGTTTATTGATTTTACTTTGATAGTTCTTGTGTGAAGTCACTAGCGATTCTTTTGAGTTAACTCATTAGAATTAATCAAGAATTATTGAGTTAATTTTTTCAGAAGGATTAGCCAACAAGTAAGAGTTAAATAACCATACTAGAGTTAACTAACTAAACCCATAACTAATCTAAAAATACCCAAATTTGCAAGAAAATACCAGAATCGACCACAAAAACACTCATAACTACCACAAAAATAAAAAAATACCTGAAAAATGACTTTAAAATGCAAACAAAACAAAAAACTTGAAACAAAATATCGCAAAGTCTACTAAAGTGCAGAGAACGTCAAAATATTATAAAAATTTAAAAAATACCAAAGTTCCACATTTGCTTAAAATGAAATAAATCAATTGGCATTTAATTCAAGCATTCCTTTTTGAGAAATAATATGCTACGTAATGATTTATAATTAACTCTTTTATAGATTTCACGTTTGCTTCCGAAGGTGGCCCGAGTGTCGCGCCACTTGGGAACATACATAAGGTCTCTCTTACCATTTGCACGACATAAAACTATTAATCTGATAGATTAATTCGAATTAAAGTAATGTGGTTAAAGAAAAAGAAATAAACTTTCAGAAAACATATTATAACTCAAAGTTCTAAGAATTTAAACACATTATCTTCTCACCTGGAAATTAGAACGACAACTGCAAATAATTAAATCACTTCATACAATGGAGGCCATTCAAGGAAATATCTTCCAATTCAGCCTCGTGCACCTCAGATACAAGATTTACAATGCAGAAGGGACATCTTATGATTCAAAATAAATTTCATTTTATTTTGGGGGGGGGCTACGTTAGGAGCACTGGCCACCTTTGGCTTACCCACCTTACTTAATCAAACATACTAAATTTTTAAAAAAAATTAATAATTTTTAGTGACTTCCTTGGGTCTGTCCTGCAGAGCAAAGTTTTTTGAGGTGAGGCTTAATATTAGAAATAGCCACTCTCAGTCCTGTTTCTATATTTAGCCGTGATCTATATTTTGTCTTCAAAGAAGCCACAGCAGAAAATCCAGTTTCACAAAGGTAGGATATTGAAAACGGTAATAGAATGCGAAATGCCCTTTGTTTCAGTGCAGAAAAATCCTCCTCCTGCCAAAATTCAAATAGTGATTTATTACTAAATTGCATTTCAGTTTCGCCACTTGTCGTGAAGTCTATGAATTTTTCTTCCTCATCAATTGAGAGTCCTTCGGGAGTCTTATGAAATGGATTCCTAACCCACTCGTAACTTGCTAGCAGTTTGTCATGAGCAGGAAAATACTTTTTAAAATTCTTTGCCAGCATGGCTAAATGATTTTCAATGGTTACAAACGTAACTTTCATATATTCTTCTTCAGCCTTATAAGTTTTAGTACAATTATCCACATTTGCAAACATTGTTAGGTTTTTTTGCTTTAAATTTCTGCCCCACAATTCTAATTTTCTACAAAAAGCATTAACTTCATCACTCGTATCCAACATATGTGTATTTGCTCCTTGGAGTTTAAGATTCAAGTTATTTAATTTCTCGAATATGACGACCAAGTATCTCAATTTCATCACAAATAAACAATAGTGTAAATTCCCGGTTTCCGGTCTGTTATCTTCTAAGAAAATGACGATTTCTTCTCTTAATTCATGAGCACGTTGCAAAAATTTCTCACGTGATAAACATCTTGCCTCACATTTAAATAGTAACTCTGAATGTACTGAACCCATGTCATTACAAAGAGCAGAAAAGATTCTCGATCTCAGGGTTCTCATTTTTATATAATTTGAAATGGTTACAACCGCAGTTAATACAATATTTAAACCAGGACGTATTTCTTTCGAACCCAAAGCTTCTCTGTGGATCATGCAATGTGTCCAGACGCATTGAGGCGATTTTTGTTTTACTAGTGCTTGTATACTTTCGAACCTTCCGGATATTGAACAAGCATATTCCGATGCATATTCCAGTGCATATTCCGATGCAATTTTTGCATTCTGTGTTTGCATCATTCATAACATCATTTAAAATAGCAAATAATGCTAGCGCTGTTGTTTTGAGTTCTATTGATTTGCAGAAAAGTAGTTCTACTACTGACATATTATCACAAAATCAAACATAGGCAATGAAATGAGCATCTTTATTAATATCTCTTGCTTCAAAGTTTATTGAAAACATTTTGTCACGCAACATCGAGAAAAGCTGACACTACATTTTCAGCTGTATCACCAATTCGACGAGCAACAGTATCATTTGAAAGAGGTATGGACTGTAATTGTTTTGAAAAATTAACTCCAAACATAGTTTCTGCAATCTCAATTGCTGCTGATTTTTACTTTACTTTTGTTTTGGTAGTTAGTTAAAAATAATTTAAGGACAGAATTAAAAATACTCAACATACATTATTGTTGCATACATTTTACTGCAAGTGGGGGGAGGGGCGCGATGAAAGTTATGATCGAAAACTGGGCCGCGAATACTGAAAGGTTGAGAAACGCTGAGCTAGATATCTCCGTGATGTAGCAAACTGAAGTATGTTTAGATAAGAAATTTACAAGATGGCACGCAACTTCTTAATTTTTCTATCACAATTTAAGCCTTTTCAATTCCGTGAGAATTCTACTACGAATTTTAAAATATCTCATGTTAAAGGTTGTACAAAACTGAGAGAATGCCAAAAAAAAAACTAACTATGAAATTTTAATTTTCTTATAGATGCCTAAAAATCACATTTATTCAAGAATGACACTCGAAGAACTTGAAAAATATGGTCAAATCGAAACTGAGAGTTTCATACCTTATTTTTGGCAAGTATTGCTTTCTGAATGTTTGTAATCAAAGTCGTTTTTCTTAATGTTGACTGCGAAGCCAACGGTTGGAGGTTCGAATCACGCTCAGGGCATGGATGGGAAGAGTATCTGTGGCAGTATGGCATGAGTAAAGTTGCTCGCCTTCGTGACATAGGATATAAGGTGGTAACCAGGCAACACAAAGGACTTCAAGCACCTTCCACGGCATATTTTGGATTTCAGAAATACGAATCCGTTGAAAAAGAGTATGTTTCTTCAGAGAAAGCGCGATTTTGTGTCTAATGTCATTACTTAAAATATTGTTTGTTCTAATTAAATAGCTAATTTCAGGTCATGCCCTCGAACCATAAAGATAGAGTCCTAAGACGTACAAAATCCGATCATTAGATCAAAAGTAATTCAGGGTGGTTCTTTTTTTCGCGCACTGTACCTTAAATTAAATTTAAGCGTTATGCGATAATATTACAAGAATAGAGAGCATCGGATATTGGATTTTATCTTCTAAACAACTGTATAAGGAATGCGGTACACCGCACACATTTCTATAACAGCAAAAGAAATGAAAAATCAGATCCCGCTGACTCACTGCGCATGTCACATACTTGCCTGGTATTCTCTACATTTATGTGAAGATTAAGGGTTCGTTGTCTGATATCCCTCAGACAGAGTCATAACTTTCGATTATTAATAATAACCAAATGAGCCTTTAAAGTGAAATTAAAGTTACGTGAAAAAAGAATATGTTACTTTTTTTTAAAGGTCAGTTTAATTTTCTTTCTGAAGAAAAAACTGCTCTCTTATAAACCTCTTTTATTAATCTTAACCAGGGGCAGCAGTTTCAAGCATTTTTACCAGAAATGAAACAATATCCCGTTACCACCTAAATGTTTAACGCCTCAAGCGATCCCCTGAAAAAGACTACCAAATATTCATAATCAAACCACTAGTACATCACTAGATTCGTGTTTAGGACCCCTAGATTCCTTCATCTATTTTTTCAAACTTCAGAATATTGTTTCAATTTTAGTATTATTCGTATTTTTAAATTTACTTTATAATACGAAGTATTTTGATAATATTATAATTTTGTAATTGTCCCCTCTTTTTTTTAGGTTAGATAATAAAACTGAATCTGACTACTTTGAGCAAACATGGGAGCATCATAATGATTTTGATTTAGTGCCTTGTTTCAAGCTCTATAGTAGAGAAAACAGCAATGAAAGAGCAAAAATGGGTACATTTTTCCCACGTAAGTTAAATTTTCATTACATGAGATATAAGTAAAAAGTTATTAAATGAAGCAAAAATCATGTGCAAATCATATACCAATCAAGATAAAGCACATAATTATCAGAAGAATCTATTCACTTTATAAACACTGCCGACAATAAGCAAATCAAACTCAACGGAAATGGTAAAAAAATTTAAAATTATCTAAATTTAAAGTATGCATCGAAAAATTAAAAATATTAAAACACTCAATTGCGACTAATTAAAATATTTAAAAAGAGATAGACTTACGTTAAATTTATTTACACTAATTATGATCTAATTAATGGGTGCAAATTAATGTATAAATTTGGAAAAACGTAAAAACATTTTCAAAAACTGTCGAATCATTTATGAGGCATACGATTTCAGAAATACCAAAACCTGTTAAATTGTCACAAAAGAATTGGGAGAACGTAAAAAGTGATTATTTGGCAACCAACTGTATGTTTTACTAAAATCTTGTATTTCTCTATATTTCTTGTATTCCTCTGTATATTTGTATTCCTCTATATCCAGTTCATTCTAAATTGCAGAAAATGATTGGACGTATTTAGATGACAATTTTTATTCATGGCAATATATAGTTTAACATTTGAAAACTTTGAGAAATATTTTTCCAACGATTTAAAACAAGCAGAAGTCTTATGCATTTTATCAGATATTAAGACCAAAACCATATGTTTATCCTATGTTTTACATGCGCATTTAAATTATTTTTGTGTAGTGACAGACAAAGTATTTGAATTACAATTTTTTAAAATATTAATGCATTATATTTGATACGGTAAGAAATACATTTTTCGAAACTACGGAAATTTCATCGTCGTTGAAGGATGTATTGCTCAGATAATAATTTGAAATCTTTGATTATATATATATATATGAAAAAAAGAAAGCACAAACCAAACTTACCGGCGTGTAGCAAAATGTGACTTAGGTTTAAAAGTAAAATACTAATTTAACAGTTAACAAATTTCGCAAAGAAGAAAAATCTTTAAAGTTGTGCATATAGCTCAAATCAAATTAAATTAAATTAAAAAATGTATTTGGTCGAAAAAAAATTGAGCAATTAACATATCAGGGCTGCCATCTAGGAGAAAAACTAGTAAAAAAATCTCTTCGGAAAAATTATATAATAAAACCCATAAAAAGAAGAAATTTTTTTATTAATTTTATTACAATAATATAAAATTAATTATAAAAAAAACATTCAAAATACGTAAACGTTGTAATTTAAATAAAAGGCTTAAATAAGGAATAAATCATTCATTGGTATCCCATCTTTCATAGAGTGACTTATTTAAAAGTCAGAGCTTGCACATATGGATAGAAAGTCGTTTATAGACCTTATCCTTCATTCATACATCCTTACATAATTTTAAAGTCTACACGTATTACCTACACTCATCGGGGGTAACTGTTCATAAACCAATGGCCATTCCATTCTAAAAAAAGAGTTAGTATTAAGGAACTATTTGCTATTTATTTCTTTTGCTAGGGGTGTTGAATGTTGCCTCTCGTCAGGTATTCATTCTGAATGTTGAAGAAGATGAATTGTTTGATCCAAGAAAGAATCCAAGAGCAGTTCTCGACATACATTCGCCATTTGCAGTTTCTGACATTGAATTAAAGGCAATAAATTTAGAGCCGGGAAAATCATATAAAATACATATAATTCTAGTAAGTTACTCTATTTTGTAATATATTTTTCTGAAATTTAATTAAGGTCAGTAAATTTAAAGCAAAGAGGATTACACAAAATACGTATAGTTCTAGCACGTTTCCTTACTGTTCTAAAAACTGATATGATAGCTGATAATGATAAAAATAAACAATTTTGAACAGGGAAAATAAAACAAAAACATATAGTTCTTGTAAATAACTTTATTTGCTAATAGTCTGTTCTGAAATTTAATTAAAGATAATAAAATTAAGGTCTAGAATATTAGATAAGATATATACAGTTCTAGTAAGTTACTTTACTTTTCTGAACATTACATGTGATAATGAATAAATGGCAATAAATTTAGAACCTAAGATTTTAATTCAAAATATATATATTTCAAGTAAGTTACCATTCTTTTTAAACATTATATATCATAACGAATTAAACGAAATAAATTTAGAACCGGGAAAATCCTTCAAAAAACATATGGTACTAATAAGTTACCTTATTTTCTAATATTTTTCTACTATTCTGGGCCCATGTCCAAGAGTTCGCGGGCTCGATCCCGCCAACCGATTAACCCCCGTGTAGTGAATGGTGACAGAAGCAGGTTAAATATGTCGAGTCACAAAGTACTCCATGTTCCCATATCAAATCGTACCTTTGGGGGTATTGATCCAGGAGTTTCCTTGTCTTTTGGATTGGTCAAAAATTACCAGGCTACGGAGTTGAACTTTAATTGTCGTAAAACCAAAAAGTTGTGTCGGATTTAATGATGGTAATAAAATAAAATATATTTCGGTTTGAAAAACCCAAATCCTTCGGAAATATATATATATATATATTTCTTTTANGACCCTATATATATATATATATATATATATATATAACTTCTGGAAAAATAACGTAAAATGGTCACATTTATGAGTACTGTAAATGAATTGCGTTTTGCTCTCACCTAATATTTTAAGACCCATATTATAACTATTCAGTTTATATTACAGGCAATAGCTATGAGTTGTTAATTATTATTAATATAAATTTTTATTTTAATCCTTTTATGTTATAATTTTGGCCAATGTAATAATTATATGTAATAATTTCATGCATTTGAAGATATTTCGCCCCATTTTTAACGATATTTCTATCTTTTGAGTGAATAGTTTGTCCTGTTTGAGACATTTTGCTGGGAAAACAGCAGTTTTTAAATTTAATATATATTTAGTTAGTTAGAGATACGAAAGGGATAATAGCATATGATAGGGCGAAGTAAGTGACTGAAAAAAATTCACTGTTTGTGTTTGGCCCGCATTAAACCTTTGAGGCACGCGAATACAAATTTTCATTTTTTTTTAAATTGAGGAACTAATTATGATGCATAGGGTCTAAGAATGGGAAATTTACGCTTAAAAAAAATTCTGATTCATTGTCCCACCTGGTGGTGGTTTCGGTGGTTAACCGCTGTCCACATAGAACATTTTCGCGTGATAAGAAAATAATATTTTTTTAACTTGTTTTTTAGCATTTTTTACAATGAATTTAAACTTGGAATTAAATAATAAATTTAAATACTAGAATCATTTATATCATTTCAAAATCGAAAAATGGCTTTAATAAGTATAGTATAATATATAATAAAATACAAAATATATATTAATAACATATATGAATTTTAAACACGAAAAATGTTCTAAGAAATAAAATATACTACAAATATAATGTATATTATGCAATATTATGATGAAATTAATTATACAGAAATATATAATAGTAAAAATAAAATATATAATAAAATGTATAATTCAATTTAATAAAAATGAATATCTTACTGCGGCTTACTCTGCTATATATATAATAAATTTTTTCCATCATAAAGAATTAAACGTATCTCGTAATTGAAAATCAACAATACAAAATAATAATTAAAAAAAATTGCTTAAATTCTTAATTTTTCAGACAAACAAAAAGCAGAAAAATTAGTAATAAGAGAAAATAAATTTAGCATCAACTCAATGTTATGTTATGCAATATGACTAATATGATTCAATACGCAATATGATTCATATATGACAATATGAATCATATTGTATACTCAATGTTATGCAATATGACTGTTCACTAATTCAAAAAGAACGCAAATGAGAAGAACAAATTTGTTTCAGATGGGAAATTTGATGTATTTGGCTTTATTCTCAATAAAAATAGATAAAAGACACATGGTTCTCCTTTCATAAGCCCCATGCTAACGAAAACCCTAATAAATTTTGATCTACTTCACTATCTGAATAAGTGAAAGGTGGAAAAAGGACATGTGTTGGCGGGAATATCATACGTTCTAGAGGCACAGTGGTCTCTCTCTGAAAGGAGGAAAAATAAATGCAAAAATTTTATTCTTTTCCTTGGAATCATTTTTGGGGAAAATTTGTATGTCAAAAGGAGCTCACAAACAGCAAATTTGAGTAATATATTTCGAACATTTTTTGTATTTCATTGGGCAAAAAAATTTTTTTTTGAAGTAACGAAAAAATGCATTGAAAACTTTTCATTTTTCACCAAGGAAGACATAATCTAAGTGTAGTGGTGCTATCTAGTAATGGTTAGGAAAATTAAAATATTACTTTAAAAGTATCGGTTTCAGAGATTGACCACTTTGAGACTAGTATTTTTTTTTAAATAGATTGGTTTCGCTGTCATTCCACTTTGCGCTGGGAATGTCTCAATTTTACGGGCAGAGATGTTTCTCTTCTTACTCCCGCGCTGAAATGAGCACTGCGTCTGAGGAGGGGGTGCCAAGTGCCAACTCCTGGTGAACAAACTATACTTTTACTTTGTAGACAATGCAGGTCAGCATCAATAGAAAGAATATTTTCGAATTTTGGTCTTATTCATACAAAACTGAAAAACGAATTCTGTGTAAAAAAGGCTTCAAAACTTTTTTTGCTTTTTTGTGTGAGAATGTTTTAGGGAAATGATTAAAATGTGAGTAAATGAAAATAATTTGTGGGTAGTTTGGTATCTTTGTTAGAGTCCCCACATAAACTCTAAAAAGAAATCTAACTCTAGAAAAACCTTCTACATGAAAATGTTACCGAGAACGGTTATAGGTTTCTTCATAAATAACACTAAGTTTAGATAAATAACTATCTTTATTAACATTTTAGGAAACTTGTAAATTTAACTAAAAACATTCTAACAGATATAAAACAACCACTTTAACATTGAAGCAGCATTGAAAAAACCGCGAAAAGGTAACCGGCGAGAACATGCCGGACTGCTAGCTGGAACCGACGGGGAGAGAGAGCAAGCTGTGGGTAGGCGGCCAAGTTATATCCAAAACATACTGTGCACGTTTTGCTGATTTCGCCCTTCACGCATATCTCCATTCAGGTATGAGGTCTACGTCAATTAACGGCTGCAAGCGACGTAGTCCAATGTCAGAGATTCGTAGTTCGGACTTTGCATTTCAGGCCGCAACGCCACAGATTATAGACACAATGAATAAAATGGTTGTTAAGTATTTTTTTAATTTATGTGATTGTTTATGTAATTTGATTTCAACTATTTTAGCAAACGAATAGATTGGATAAATTCCAATTTAAAAATTTTTTTTTTTTAATAATCATTTAATACTTTCTACAGAAAACTTTATGTTTTTGACAGTAATTTTCAAAAGAAGAATTTATTATCAAATAATTCATGAACATAATTGATTGTTCATTTATAATTTTATAGGTATGCTTATTTATATATATATACTACTTATTTATAAATACTTCTTCTTTATAATAGCTAATATCTATTCTGACACTAAAACTTGGGATTTTTAACACTTGTCAAAAAGGAGCTTTTGACATGACGAATGAAACCACGGTTAAAGCCGGATACAACTGTCAATTGTCAAAAACATGCCAACCCTGTGTGTCACACATTGATAACTAAATTTACTTGTTCACCATATATAGGGGAAACTGTTTTTTATATAACAGTTCACATAAAAAAAAACACTTTAGATTTTAAGAAGTGTCGTAATAGATGTTAAGCTTTATATCTGGAAATGTCTGAATCAAGCATGAGCTTATAATAAGAAAATCACGAGAGAGATCAATTTATCCTCAACAGTGAATAAATAATTACTGTTAAAAATATTCAAAGTGTTTAAAATGGCAGTAACTTTCAAACAAAATGAAGGATCGGAAAAGAAAAACTTCAAAATGACCCCTATCAGCACAACAAATTTCTACTCTGTAGTTGAATTCCAACCTGAGAATAAACGAGAGCAAAACTAAATATTTTTTCCCTGTACTAAAACAAACTTCAATAACACCCATTTAGAAATTGAAGAATATAAATCTGAGGCTGTTGATAATTTCGTTTACTTTTGTTCTGTAATCAACAACAGGAACAATATTTCAATGGAAATACAAAGAAGTATTACTGTAGCCAATTAATGTTTTAATGGAATTCGAAAATGCATAAAATCTAATGTAATTCATAGACAAACAAAAGTTTTATTATATCTCTCTTAAGATCAATTTTAACATATGCTTATGAAACCTGGACCATATCTTGTACGGATGAGGCTATGTATGGTACCTTAGAGAGAAAGGTATTAAGAAGTACTTTTATAGGAATTTAAAAAAATGGTGGGTGGCTTAGAAGATTAAATCTAGAACATTATCACTCATATGATGAACCTGATATTATAAACTTTATTAAATGACAAAGAATTAAATGGGCAGGCCACGTTATCAGAATGAAAGAAAATCGTATCACAAATTGCCTTAATTAGACAATATGTAATATGAATTCAGCGATTGGATAAATTAGTATATTTAATATATTTTATAAATATAGAATATTTATTATATCAGGTATTATATTTGTACAATTGGACAATATCAATTGTTCTGAAATATTAATAAACAGAACAATGACTCTTAACCCTAGTGTTTGGGGCAGTAGAGCCATTTCTGACTCCTGTGCCAATAAATTCCAACCAACCATTATATTAGTATATTATAATAATTCGACCAAATTATTAGACACACTGTAGTGTTCTAATAATTACATGTTTTAAACGAGTTTATATACAATACTTTCATATTTAGACATACATGTGATGGATTACATTCAGGTTTTTTTTCCATATACTTCCTATATGTATTTATTTTTAAAATATTGCAATAGAATGTTAACCAATTGATACACGAACATAAACAAGTGTAAACCGAGTTCAACCTCGTAAAAACAATGCTGTATAGTATCACCTGATAATTAAGATTTTACATAGAAATAAAGAAATTAAAATTCTGCCGTGCTTTCAGGTTGAATATCATCTTCTTCCTGCACCTTACAAGACTGATTGTATAGATTACGAAGATCTGTGGGAGAAGAACAACAGAACAGGACCGCGATCACAAAGAGTAATTCCAAAACTAATTTAATTTCTTGAATTTCCCATGTTCTACGGTGACTAGGGAAATTTCTTTCTTAAATAAGGTAGCATACCAAGTAAGAATATCAACGAAAAAGTTCTTAATGGCGAAAATTTAAAAAAACTGCATTAGATTTCTGTTTAACAAAAATTTCCATCCATGTTTAACAAACTTTTCATCCATGTTTTACTATTGCAAACTATATGATTCAACTACACTATACTATATGCTATATACGAACTACAAATTACTACATACAAACATTACTTTTTTTATTTTATTTCTAATGGCAAGGCAAAAGTTACAAGTAGAAAGATGAAATAAATAACAAATACAAATGTACGTAGGATAACAAAGAAAGAAGCATTGCCTTAAAAGTTCTCTTGCTTCCCAATATCTTGAGGACTCAGTGTGTCCATCCTCGTGGTGCACTCCGGGCAACGCTCTGCGGCTAAGTGATCCACAGCCTTCGGCAATTCCTTACAAACTATACTATATGATGCAATTTTCATAAAATTGCTCCAGATCAACATTGTGTGTTCCTTCGTTAATGTTTTTAAAAAATATTTTTAATTGGGTGATTCAAATAAAACTGAGTATTTTTTCTCACCGTCTATACAATATCAACAAATGTGGAATATTTAATGTTTTAAAAAAAGTCAATAATAATAATAATAAAAATAATAATAATTATATATATATAGTTTCAGAAATTTCGATAATTATAACGAAAGTTATTCAGGGTGATATTTTTTTTTTATTTTGGTTACACTGTACAGGAGGAAAAATTACTTAAACTAACGATAACTAAACTAGAAATAAATTAAATTTTGCTAACACTAGAAAATATTTTTTTTTACAAAGCTGAGCAAGTTGCCATCTCTGTATGTACAGTCAAATTTGTTAAGTTACAAATCAGAGAGGGAAGTTTTTGACTGCAAACAAAATACAAGATTCTTTTCTCCGTTACTTCCTAGCAAAGAAAATCGTCGATACATGTTGCACCTACTTTTTTAAAAGAATGGTAATCCATTTATATTAAGGTACTTTTTCTGTTATCTTTCTTCTTCCTTTATTTAAATAAACTGGGCACCTGGGCCGCGAAGCGGCCCCTATCCCATTCATCATTAAATTACATACAGTAAGGTAAAATACATTGATTTGGCAGACATTGTGGTAGCCATCAGAAAAATCAAGCCGTTTGCTTGTGAAATAATAAAGCAATGAAATTTTCAATATGACAAATTGGCGTTTTTACATAACATTAGAAATATTGATTCTAGACTTAAATTAAAAATAAATATAAAACATGATTTGATATGTACAATAATTGATTTTTGAAAAATGAAAGACATAATTGATGAATATAGACAAATCATACCTTGATACATGATAAAATAACATATTTGGAGAAAATGCAGTAAATATATCGTAACAGAGAAATATTGCTTATTAAATGCAATAATGGAATTTGCAAAGAATTTAACGTGCATAATTTGATAAATATATATGCAAAAATTGGCTATATTACCAGAAAATAAATTTTATTGTAATTTAATTTAACTTAACTAAAAGTCTGCTGTGAAAAGTTCAGTGAATTTAACTTGAGAGTCTCGAAAATAAAAATAGAACTCACTGGGATTGAGAAGTTTCTTCTATGATTCCCCGCAGAAGGCGGAGCACTTCTTAATTTTTGAGCAATTCCGGTAATTCTTTGATTAATGACACTAATCGATGAGCAAGTTTAGGCATCGAATTTGATGTTGCTCGAGGGCTCCTTCTGCTGGGGCGGGTCTCGCACCCAGTATAGTTTGCTGTGTGGTTTTTGTAACAATTACAGCATTTTGTAGGTGTTGTTCTGTCTTTGTTGCATTCATGAGACCTGTGGTTTTCAGCGCATTTTACACACTTTGCAGATGCATTGCAGTGACTTTGCGTATGTCCTAAATTTTGGCAGTTGTAACATTGTATTGGTCCTCGACCTCCTCAAAATCGCTCGATTTTGATCGGGATCTGCTGTATGTTGTTGACTTCGAAAACTCTATGGTGATTCGCCGTTGATGTTAGGATTATGAGAAAAAGGGGAGGAGTCGATAGGCCTCTCCCATTCTCTTCTTAAACTGCGCTATTTTAATGGTTTCAATATTTTTTTTCTGTAATTCTGCATTAATGGCATCTGTACCAAAGTCCACAGGCAGGCCCCGAACCAAAACCTTAATAAATCTGGCTTGCGGTGTTATTTCAGGTTTGCTGGGTGGATCCCGTACTTTGTCTGTATCCTCCTGAGGTTTTGTTGTCGGCAGGATAGTGGCGTCATCTGTTGAGTTACGTTGGCTAGAAGAAGGACAGCTGTTTGTAGACATGAGTGTAGAATTATCTTCAATTATTTTGACTGCATTTTGCTTTTTCTTCTTCTTTTCTTTGCTGGTAGTTCTGTATTGTTGTTAATATTGACGTCCGTGTCAGTTTCTGTATTTGGTGTTGTATTCAGGTTTTCATCTTTATATTCCATTGTTATGTCTTCAGTGCTTGGAGCTTTTTCAGTTATCTCAACCTGGCAACTTTCAATCCTAGGTTGATTTTTTCCTGTGGTAGTGAAATGGATATTGATTTAAAATTTTAGGCAGAAATATACGGTTAATTTTGAATTATTTTGAATGCTTAATTTTTTTAAGAATAGCGCTGGTCAAAATCAACAAAAATTAAACTTATCAAAGTAAGTATAGCATACATTCACTACCACTTTAAATATAAAATAAAAATCTTCACAAAATGCATAAAAATTGGCAGTTATGTGTTACCTGATGACTATATAAAGTCTCCCCATACATAAATACTTCTTGATATGATTTGATATGTTGTTTTGCGAAGTACCAGTCACCGAAGCTGGCAGCTCACTTCTTCATATATCCAATTTGCCCTAGAGCGACTGAAACTTTTGGCGTTAGGCATAAGGAGGTGATTGGGTAATTGGCTGCTTACGGAACGACTAGTGAACGAGTGTAATCTAATGAATGGTATACTCCCGAGTCGAGGATCATCTTAATAGTCATTTCCTCTCCTCAGAAGTATCCATAAGTTATGAGAAGGGTAGTATATTTGAGGTAGCTGATTGTGATCTATCTGGGGGCTGTTAGGTATTTAGAGGTAGATTAAGTATTTATTTGTTGGTGTGGTATACTTTAGAGTCGAGGACATAAATACTATGAAGGATGGCATTTTCTATGTATGTTTAAATTATTCACATGTAGTGGTAATTTACTTGAGTTATCTTTAAATTTACTGAACTTGGAATTAAATGTTGAAGTCTAAATTTTACACCGCAGGAAAAAAAATCATCGCAGAGCAAATAATTTTGCTTGCTTGATTAATTATAAAGGTATTTTGAATCTCATGACAAGTTATGCATTGATATTTTCTCCAACAGTCTTGCATGCTGATATGTACTGATGTACTAACTCGTCTGTGTCTAAATTGTACTCAAGAAATCTACGCTCCACTACGGGACAAATGCACAGGTAAATATTTAAAGATTTTAAACATCTTTCTTTCAGCAGTTCGTTACTTCCTAAGTTGTAGTCAATATTTTTACGCTCCCTTAGAGGTTAAATGCACTGGTAAATAATTAAAGATATAAACATCGATGTTTAAACAATTCGTCTGCCCCTACATTATAAGTACATAAACCTATATATTTCATATAAACTTTTACACATGAACTCTAACCCATAATCTGTCTACCACAGAGGATAATTTACTTAAACACTGTGGTTGTTGCGAAGTAGGTGCAGATTTCGTATCAACCAAACATCGCGGGGATTCAAATCCGAGTCACCTTATTGGCAGGCCAATGTTCAACTCCGTAGCCTTGTAATTTTGAACACAATCCAGAGGACAAGGGAACTCCTGTAACTACTATTGGGGGGAAATCAGCCTTCATGGGTGACTTTTTGATGGAACTATCCCGCATTTGCGTTATATGGAGAGGAAAGTCATGAAAACCACTCACGTTTAGCCCGATGGGAAGGGGACTGTAACCCATGATCCGTTTACCACTGTGGATATTTTACGTTGGAGCTGTGGTCGGTGTGAGAAGGATGCAGAATTCGTAGCAATCAGCCATCGCTGGGATTCGAATTTGGTTCACCTCATTGGAAGGCTCAATCCCCTGAGCCACATCGGCTCTGATTCTATATATAGTGAACATTACAATCTTAAATTACTGATTGAGTCGGTATTAATCTGAACTGCCAAAAAAAAACAACAATGAAAATAGTAATTAGAAATATCCATTTTATACCAATATCCCCTGAGCCATCACAGCTCGATTCTAACAATATCGAAAATGGGAATTTTAAATCCCTGATCGAGTCTGTCCTGTTTGAGTTGAGTCTGTTTAACTGCCAAAAATCGTTTAATTTTTTTGGAACTCACTGTTCGCTACCCACCCCCGTTTTATTAATATTATATATNATTGAGTGTTGCTATCTTTATATATATATGTGTGTGTGTGTGTGTTATTAAGATACAATGCAGCATCACTCCGAACCTTTTGCTCTCCGATGACACCTCTGAGGCGCCTCTCTAGGATTAAAAATGTTTATATCTTAATAATTAGTAACTAAAATATTTTAAGAACATTATAAATTATGTTTAAACTTTGTATTTTTAAGGATTTAGTGCATACACTTATTTATACAACATTTGAAATTACTCGGAGTGTAAAGGGTTAACTAATTTGTACTACCATTTATTGGGGAGGATGCTTTTCCAAAAAAAAAATGGTTTCAATAGTAGTATTTATTTTGCCAAAACAAGATAGTTTTATCTATTGTAATATTTCAATGATACGAATATTTGTGTGTAGATCGATAGCAGAGATGCCAACTTACTCCGATTAGCGAATAATTATTTGCGAACCGCAGTAGTCTTTTAATGGAAGAATCTTGGTTTATTTAATTCGATTTATAGAGTTTTTACTCGTCACTGCCTCTTAATAATTTGAAGACTTATGTGACACACCACTTTGTTACAATTAAGCTACTTTCTATGCTTTTTATGTGTTATATTGACTTCTTATTTTATAAGTCAACTCATTTCCGATGAATCATTTCTTGGCGCCAATATGCGGAGATATCCACAACATCCAGCTTACAGTTAAACTGTGTTGAGCCTTCTAAATTGGGCAAAATTAAAGTAAAATCTTCAAGTTTTAGTTAGTAGTTCTGTGTCGTTATTTATAATGTTTTGTCTCTTTCGGAGCTGTTGGCATCTCTGTAAAAGTCAAAGCATAGAGCATTTTAAAAGCTGATGTAATAAGTAATCGAACGATTCATCCATTTAGTGTAAACAATATAAAATACCTTTTTTATCGCTTTAGTGCATTACATGTATATATTATTTTATATCCCTATTTTTGTGTTTATGGCTACCATTGTTCAACTCTGTAGAATTGTAATATTTAATCTAATTCAAAAGAAAAGGGAACTCTTGGATCAAATATTGGGAGCTATCAAATGTATTGGAGGATCAAATGTTTTTTGATGGAACTGACTCACATTTGCGTTACATCGAAAAGAAAACCACGAAAGCCTCCCAGAGTGAACCTGACGGCAAAGGAACTGTAACCGATGATCCCTCTATCACTGATGGTGTTTGACGTCGGCACTCTTGTCAGTGCGAGCCGGGTGCGGGATTTGTATTGACCAGCCATCGCAGGGATTCGAAACCGGTTCTCATTGAGAGTCAAACGCTTGATCCCCTGAGCCACCTCAGCTCGCATTATATATATAGACCGCTTTCTGGAGTCAATCATTAACGGTATAGTTCGTTCACCAGGAGTTGGCACTTGGTTCCACCTCCTCGGACGCAGAGTTCATTTCAGCGCGGGGGAGTAAGAGGAAAAGCATTTCCCCGCTTGAAATCGAGATAACCTCTAACGTGCGCAGAGCCTCCACACTGTTTTTATAGGTAGTCCAATCGGACCACTATGAAGGCAAACCAGTTTACGAAAGAGCCATTTAATAGAAAATCTACTAAAAATAAGAAAGTGGTAGCAAATATATGTCTAAAAATTTGTTTAATTTTTGAATATGATTAGTTTGTCTTATTTACTTGTCTACCACTACAGATTCAATTCTCAAATATGTATGACAAATTCCTCTCAGTCACTTTTAAAATAGAATTTGGTTTCATGCTCTCAAACTGCTCACTTTTTAAATAGTCCGCGCAGACGACTTATTAGAAACCGTGTGGAGGCTTTCTGATGTAGAAGGCCAAACACAAACAGTGAATTCTTTTTCAGTCACTTACTTCGCTTTATCATCAGCTATTATACCTTTCGTTATTCTAGCTAATTTATATTTAAAAACTTTTTCCCATCAAAATATCTCAAAAAGAACAAACTATTCAATAAAAAGAGAGAAATATCAACAAGCTTATGAAATAAAATGCACATGTTCAAAATATGCAAATGAAGATTGCGAAATAAATAGTTTTGTCATATGATCGCCAAATAGCAGCCTTGTTCGCCTCCTTCTCCCCAAAATAGCGAAATAGTATCATCCGATACCACGTGATGAAGGCGGAGTCAAGTGCCAACTCCTAGTGAACGAACTATACTTTTATTTATTATGAAATACCAGATTTACAAAATTTAATGTTAAAGCAAGATCACTCAATAAGAGAATTAAAAAAATTTGCATTCTTAACTTGCAAGCATCTTCGAAAAATTAAAGGCCGAGATATGAAAACTAAATGAAAAAACAGACGAAAACTAAAGTCACGTTTTGTTTGGTCTGGTAACAAAGCAGAGAACGTTTACTTCGTTTATCAATCACTTAAAATGCTCTAAATTTTCTCCCAATCCGTATCAAAACAGTATGTGCTTGAGTTATCGAATTATCGTGGTAATCAGTATTGTTCCAGAAGGCCCGAAGGTCGAGAGGTAGCACTTCTGTCCTGCCGTGCTCAGGGGAAATGTGTTATATTTTCTCCTAATCCATATCAAAACTCTTAGTATGTGTTTGAGTCATTGAATTATCGTGTTAATGTCCCATAAGAGGCAAGGGTTGAGTGGTAGCACTTCTGTCCTGCCGTGCTGCATGTCCGGGTTCTGGGAAAATAGTGCTATATTTTCTCCCAATCTATATCAAAACTCTTAGTATGTGTTTGAGTTATCGAATCATCGTGGTAATAATAAGGCTCGGAGGCTGCAACTACGGGTTCCATCTTCGGACCGGGCAATGTTTTCTCTCTCCTTCTGTGTATCGATAAAATGAGTACAAAACATCATCGGGGAGCCCAAGCTCATTGAAACTCAGATGACAGCAGCAAGCCTTACCTTTTAAAGGTTGTTGGGAAGCTGAATTTAATAATGTTCCGTGTTGACTTTTTCATTACATGAATCATGACAAAAATTTATATACTCTAATTCTGAAAGATAAGGAATTTTGCTTGTAATATAAATAAACAGGGCTTAATAAATAATAAATACAAAGTTCGCCGAAAAATATCCGAATAAAGTACTACTTCATTAACAGTTTAAAGATACAGTTGATATAATAGCAAGGTCACATGTTTTTGAAATGGGAATCTGCTGATGACAATTATAAAATATCACTTGTTTAAAAAAAAAAATCTTATCTTTAATGTTAATGTTGTATTTGGTATGTGCTGTTTAATTAATACCATGACTTAGAATGATTTAAATCAATATCAAAAAATAATTTTTTTAAATCAGATTTTTTTCCATGAATAAATGGATTTCAGTCGAAAATATATTTTCTGCGTTAAAATTTATTAAAATGTTTAAGTTATTTATATTTTTTTAAAGAGAAAATCATGAATTTACTGCTATTAAATGCATTTTTCAGATAAATATTGAGAGAAGAAAGCATATATAGCATTATATGATGCCTTACCTAAAACAGAGACAATTATATAAGTGTGAATATAAGTTTATTCGCTGCGTTTACTATAGATGAACATATTTCTGTCCGTAAGTTTAATCATTATAAACGTGTGCTATTCGGCAACGGACTTAACTTAATGTAAATTACAAAATTACCATTACAAGTCATGATAAAAATTTTCATTTTTATAAACTTACAATATGTAGCTTTCATATATTAAATGATTTTTTTATAATAAAATTTTAAATTATTCATGCGTTTCGACTTATGTAAACAGTCTTATATTAAGCACACAAATTTATATTAAGAATTAATCAGTCATTTTTGCAATGAAATCATTATTAATAAAAATATAATTACATAGAGAGCTTCTGAATTAATATGATACACTTCTTTCATACCCGATCGAATAGTTTTTCAAATTCTTTAATTTAAAGTAACACCTACTTCTTACCTGAGCTTTATTCATAGTTAGTTACGTTTTGAGCAAAATTATTATATATTAAAAATAAATCTCATTTTATGAAAGCTATTTTAAATAGCTTTCATAAAATGAGATTTATTTTTTAATTGGTTGAAGGAAATGAACTGGTTTTTAATGTGTA